GGGGGCTTGCCACAGCATGGCTTGACAAGTGGTGCGTTGGACAAGTTGTGCCAAAGCAGAGCGTGTGAACTTAACTGCTATGCCACGGGGCCAGCCCCTTGATTTTTTTTTTTTTAAAGAAATAAAACATTCCATTTTTCCTTCCTGGAGATAATCATGACCCTGAATTCCTATAATGTGTCTATACTATTTTATACATAACACCTGTCTATAAGCAATATTGGACAGTATTGTGTATTTTCAAGCTTTTTGTAAACGAAATTGTACCATATAGTTGGCCTTTGGTATCTTCGGGTTCTGCATCTGCAGATTCAGCCAACCTCAGATCAAAAGGCCTATGGTGGTTGTGTCTGTACTGAACATCTACAGACTTTTTTCTTGTCATTATTCCCTAAGCAATACAGTATAACAACTATTTACATAGCATTTTATTCTGTTAGGTATTATAAGTAATCTAGAGATGATTTAAAGTGTACGGGATGGTGTGCATAGGTTATATGCAAATACTATGCCATTTTATATAAGAGACTTGAGCGTCCACAGATTTTGGTGTCTGCAGGAGGTCCTGGAACCAATACCTCATGGATGCTGAGGGACGTCTATGTATTCTGCAATGTGCTTTTCTTTCTCTGCATGGCTTTGAGATTTCTCCACGTTGATGACTGTGGGTTGAGTTCTAGTTTGCTCATTTCAGCGGTTGTCTAGTGTTGTGTCTAACCACTGTGCTGCAACACCCATTCCCTTGAGGATGGACATTCTGGTCACAGCCAGTGCTTGCTTTATGAACAAGGCTGTGATGTGTGGTCTTGAATGTGTTGCACTCGGAGCTGTGCTCCTTCAGAGTAGAGAATTGGTTCATTTTTCTTCACACCTCCCTCAGCACCTAGCTTAGTTCCTTAAATTGTGCTTGATGAATGTGCTTTGTCTGCCCAAGGAAGTGGTCTTCTCATTGCATTGTACTCTGTACTCACAGTAGGTGTAGCTGCTGTCCATCCCTTCCCAAGAGGACAGAGAGGCTGCTTTGCTCACAGCCGGTGGGGACCCACCAGGGGGCCTGATGTCTGTTGGGGCAGTCGGTCCTCACAGCCACCCCCAGAGAAGGAGGCCCTCTTGACTCCATGATTGTCCTGGTGGCTAGGAGGAAGCTCAGGCTTGGAGATGTGAGCTAAGTACCCAGAGTCGGGTGGTTGGCAAGTGGTGCAACCAGCCATGGGGCGTTGAGGTGTGAGTGAGATAAAGCCCCAGCCCTCAAGGAGACAAAATCTCCTTGAGGTAGGTAGATAGGATAGCTTTAGTGGTGGACCACACCTGTCGTGTTCTTGACACAGTGATAGAAGTGATTGAGCTAGACCTTGACTGATACAGGGTTATAAGAGACAGGAAGGCCTGGATGGGAGTCTGAAGGTGTTCAGAGGATGACAGGTGGCTCTTTTGGTCTAAGGGCTACTGACAGGCTACAGGGGAAGGAGCGTTTTGTGCCTGATCACGAAGAACCCCAAGCAGGAGGCAGTATGGAGCCAGCACTTGACAGGTGGCACACTCTGGGGCATTTGGGGAGGATGGGGCAGGAGGTAGGAAACCAGTTGGGGTGCCATTGCTGCGGTCTCACCCAGAGTGGTGGCCGTGGAGGAATAATGGGATGACTGTCTTGAGATGGGAGAGGAGAAGGAATCTGAACTAGAGGGTCTGATAGGACACGAGGGATAGAAAGGAAAAGAGATCATTGAGACCATGAGGTTTCTGATCTGGAAATGGTAGCTGTACCAGTAGCAGAACTGGATCAGTTGGGAGGGTTGCTGGCTGTATTAGGCATCGAGCTGGAGGAATGCAGGGTAGGCTCTTGGGAAAGAGGGGTGGGCTGGGGCGGGGTGTGTTGGTGAGGGGAAGAGGTCAGAAAATGGGGCATTGTCGTAGGGCAGAGTTTCCAGACGTGAGAGGTGATCAGCAGGGGGATACGCCTTGGCTCTGGCCGTTTCTGCACAAGCCAGTCCAGGGTGGAGAGGAAGGAGAGCGTGGGTGGGCAGAGGCCAACTGAGGGGGCCAGCACAGAGGAGAGTTGAGCGTGTTGGATGCGAAGCAGTGGAGGGTCAAGAGGAAGCAGGTCCTGGTGAAGGAGGAGGAGGTAGTTGGGGGTAGTGCTGCTGAGCCCCAGTAATGAGGAAAGAGGCCTCTTGGTTTTGGCAAGTTTTAAAGATTTTATTTATGTATTTATTTTTTCCCCCCAAAGCCCCAGTAGATAGTTGTATGTCATAGCTGCACATCCTTCTAGTTGCTGTATGTGGGATGTGGCCTCAGCATGGCCGGAGAAGCGGTGCGTCGGTGCACGCCTGGGATCCAAACCCGGGCCGCCAGCAGCGGAGCGCGCGCACTTGACCGCTAAGCCACGGGGCCGGCCCCTGGCAAGTTTTATAGTAGAATATATTTTTCATTTTCTCTTTTAAAGATACAGTAGGGAATTGGAGAAGAAGTAAATTTGGGAAGGGGATAGTGGAGTAACCAGAGGTGGAGAAGGCAAATGTTCATGGTTGTGTGGCAGGTGGCCCCCGGGACCCCACCTGCTAGCTGGCTGTGCTGTGGCCTGCAGAGTGCGAAGCCTGGCCACACTGTGTGGTGCAGGACTGGCCATCCCCTGACTTGGAGCAGCTGACTGTGCTTGGTCAATTCTGGCTGGTTCGGAGTGCACAGCCAAAGTGTTTGCAGTAGGTTTGTTTTACTGATTGGGTTTCTTAAGCTCCTATTCAAATCAGGGTTTTTTTTTTTTGTAGTATACTGACTCGATTATTAGAAGGTAACCTTGAATTTAAAACACGATGCAGATGATCTCGAATCTGCACTAGGTCTAGTCAAAGTTACTGTGCTTGACTCTCAGAATCTTGGTAAAAGAAGGTAGGCTCTGGGCCCTCCCCTGGGTCTCCTGACCATCACTCAGGCCTGTTGTCGTTTCTGTGCACCCATTCCTCTGTGGGGGAATGCAGTTTTGTTCCTTTTTTTTTTTTTTGTGAGGAAGATCAGCCCTGAGCTAACATCTGTTGCCAATCCTCCTCTTCTTGCTGAGGAAGATTGGCCCTGAGCCAACATCCGTTCCCATCTTCCTCTACTTTATATGTGGGATGCCTGCCACAGTGTGGCTTGACAAGCGGTGTGTTGGTGTGCACCTGGGATCCGAACCTGTGAACCCCTGCAGCGGGAGCGTGTGCACTTAACTGCTGCGCCACCAGGCCAGCCCTGGGGGAACCCAGTTTTGTTCTTAGTGGGTGAGAGGAGGAGCCCTTGAGCACCTGGTCGGTGCTGGTGCTTTATGTTCATCGTGTACTAATTTTAGCTTTCCCTGATGAGCTGGGGACATCTGTTTCGCTTTTTTCAGTTGAGAAACCTGAGACTCAAGTTGGTCTGCAGTGAGTCCATGGTGGGGCAGGGGCTCCAACCCAGGTCGATCTGTCTCCAGAACCTTTTTGTTTCACAGTGATGCTGAAGGACATACAATGGGGTGAAGACTCTTGGTGATGAAGGGACATAGGTCATCAGGGAGAAGGCCCCAAGTTTGGACGAGTGGTGGGAGGGGAGAGGGAATTAAGGGGTTTGAGATTACAGAGAAAGCACAGGGAAGCTGGAGCGCAGTGAGCAGAGGTGCCACTGGGAGCAGAGCTGGCCGGTCATGCACAGTGTGGTGTTGCCTCCCTGATGTGGTGTTGCTTCCCTGGCTCATTCCCGCCCCCTCTGTGTTGCCAGCTGACGGCCGCAGTGGTGAGGTCTGGTGTGGTCAGAATGGCAGAGGAGCAGGAGTTCACCCAGCCGTGCAAGTTGCCTGCGCAGCCCTCACACCCACACTGTGTCAACAACACCTACCGGAGCGCGCAGCACTCCCAGGCCCTGCTCCGGGGGCTGCTGGCTCTCCGGGACAGCGGCATCCTCTTTGACGTCGTCCTGGTGGTGGAGGGGAGACACATCGAGGCCCATCGCATCTTGCTGGCCGCGTCCTGCGATTACTTCAGGTGAGTTACGTACACCTGTTCTCGTAAGTAAAATAACACAAGTAATCCTGGCTCCACTAGGGAAACATGCTAGCCAGCCAGAAGCTGCCAGGTCTCCTCCTTGAGCTTCTCCCACCGCTCGTTTGGCAATTTGTTCAACAGGAAGAGAGACAGACGAGGTCTTAGGGTTTGTTTTGTTTGTTTTTCTTTCAGCCTTCCCGTCTCTAGGTCACATTATCTTTTTTCTTTTCTTTTTAAGATGATATACTTGGCTTTACTTGTAATATTGCACTTTATAAAATGAATTTTCTGCTATAAGTACAACATCTTGGTATAAAACATTTCATTTTGAAAAATTTCAAATTTGTGGAAAAGTTGAAAGAATAGTATTATGAACACCTGCATACCGATTGTTAACATTTTGCTACATTTGCTGTCTCTCTCTTTATACACACACACATCTTTTCTGTGTGTGTGAGGAAGAGTGTCCCTGAGCTAACATCTGTGCCAGTCTTCCTCTATTTTGTATGTGTGATGCCGCCACAGCATGGCTTGATGAGCAGTGTGTAGGTCCAGGCCTGGGATCCGACCCCGGGAACCCCGGGAACCCCGGACTGCTGAAGTGGAGCGTGCAAACTTAACTACTGTGCTACCGGGCTGGCCCCACACGTATCTTTTTTTAATACATAATAACACTTTATGCCTTAGTCTTTTACATACACACACACCCCCACCCCCACCTCCCAGTGTTCTTGTAATGCAACCTGGAGGCCCACACGAGCCCTGGTCACTTCTCAGGACCTCTGGTCCCTGTGGGTCTGAAGCTGAGGTCAGGTGAGTATGCTATACACATCATCCATGCAGCTATGCTGTGTGCAGTCACCCCTTTTGTGCCCCTTCCCTGGCCATCCACCTTCTGCTGACACCTTCTCATCCCTTGGGTCTCTGCCTCTGACCCTCCCTGTGGGTTCTGTGGTCCCTCTGGGGTTTATCATGGCCTCCTACATGACCCTATCCCAGCACTTGGCACATTGGGAGGAATTGGTGCCACTGCCCCCATTTCACACAGGCGAGATGAGGCTCAGAGTGAGGGCCCCACCCGCAGCCATCAGCCAGGGTGGCACGAGACTCGCAGCCTGAGTTGTTCCATTCCATTTCTGATTCTATTTAATTTTTTTGTCAAGTCTCAGTTGTAGTTCTCATTTTTTGGTTTTAGGAACTAGCGAGCAAAATATTAGTATATTATTTAAGTGCCTCCTGTTCTCCAGAAGGAGTTTATGGAAAGCATGACCCACTGATGCCTTGGAGCAGACATGTCCGGGGACAGCAGCGTCCCTTCAGTTCATGGGTGGTGGGGGTCTAGCCGAGGTCTTTACTAAGCTTCAAGGTAACTTACAGGATGGTGGGTAGGATGGGGTTGCTGAGAACCACCTGCAGGGAGGACTTGGGGCCTTCCTGGCAGAGGGACAGCCAGCTTAGGGCCTATGTGGGAGGGGCCAACAGGGAGCTCTGGAATCAGTGGGGCCTCTTTGATGCACCCTCGAGCCCCTTCAGGCCAGAGCTCCTCTCTCCATGCAGCCCATCCTGACCGTCAGTGTCATACCACGCTTCCGAAAGGACAGTTATGGATGCTGCCTTTCCCTAAGTGATCGAAACCTGTGGCTTTCCACACCCTCCAGGAGCGATTCCTATCCCTTTCCACAGCCATCCTCAGGTGGACCTCTCATGGGAGTACCTCCCCTCTCAGGTGTGGTCACTGTGCATGTTGATACCCCCTTCCATTGGGAGTAGGGGTGGGTGGGGAGTGACAACAACATTAGGACAACCCAGACTCATTTCAGATGGAGGCACACACATACACAGACGCATGAAATGGATCATTCCCAAACTTTCCCATGTTTATTTTATTATTATTCCTTTCAGTTATTTGATTTAGGTTAAAATGGTAAAGGATCACTTTTTCCCCAGTAAGACTGGTGAACATGAGAAAAGTTTATACTGTCTGATGTGAACAAGGATAGAGAGAAGGGCTTTGGAGGGTGGGTTGGCCTGTAGCCTGGGCCCTGCAGTGGATGTTTGGATGTCTGTCCTGTGGGATGTCATGGCAGGTACTGAGTGACGTGGTGCAGGGGGTGCTGACGATGACCCTTCTGTTCTTCGAGGGTGTCCACTGCAACAGGTTATAAGCTGGTGGATTGGTTCCTGATGAGGGAGAGGGTGAGCACCAGGCATTAGGGAGTGGGAAGGTGCAGGACAGTGTGTAACATGAGCCCACTTTGAAGGTCTGGAAGGATGTACACTGACCTCTCGGAGTTGAGCAAGGGAGATGGGAACTGAAGGCTGACTTTCACCCGTTACTGCAGTGTTTGAGTTATTTTATGAAGAACAGGAAGCACTTTTGCGATGTTAAGTTTTAAGCCACGCATGATACTCTTCACTGCTGGCGGACCTGCCCCAGTGTGTGGTGACTCAGGGTTGAGAATCGCTGCCCCTAAGCTGGGTGTGTTCACTGGTCCCCTGGCACCACGAACTCTGGGAGGTTCCCCTGTCCCAGTCTCCTCTCCCACTGTTTGTCCACCTGTCCTCCTTTGGGGAGCCCTGAGCCAGGTCGACTGTTGTCCTGTTGTGCTCCACGGCTTTCTTGCCTCTGTGCTTTTGCTGTTACTCTCAGCAGTGCTGCCCTTCTCTGCCTTTCCTGCCCTGCAGAGCGTTGTCTTCCTTCCAGGCCCAGCTGAGGTGCCTCCTCCTCTGGGGATCCTTCCCTAGTTGTCTCTCACCTTTTCCCAGCCTCTGGCTCTCAGGCCCAGACCCACCCCACAGAAGGCTGCTGACCCCTTGCACCCCCCCCCCCCCCCCAGCAGGAAACCTTCTTTGGTATGCACTCTATGCATGGTTTAGGAATTGACTGGTTACACTGCATCTTAGGTCTTCTTTTTTGGCTTGTGTTAATAACTTCCCACTGCACATCTCTTTTGGCTCCTGTGACCCTGTGCTCGCTTGCTTGCCCTGTATACTTCTCTTGGGCTGGTTCCTGGGCTTCTCCCCGACAGCTGCGTGTGAGAGAGACCCAAGGGCTCTGTCCTGTATATGGCCTCCCTGAGTCATCACATCCCTTCCTTAGTTTTATTTATTTATTTATTTATTTGTGAGGAAGATAGCCCTGAGCTAACATCCATGCCAATTCTCTTTTTGCTGAGGAAGACTGGCCCTAAGCTAACATCCATTGCCAATCCTCCTCCTTTTTTTTCCTCCCATTTTTCTCCCCAAAGCCCTAGTAGATAGTTGTATGTCGTAGTTGCACATCCTTCTAGTTACTGTATGTGGGACGCCGCCTCAGCATGGCCGGACAAGCGGTGCATTGGTGCGCGGCCGGGATCCAAACCCGGGCCGCCAGTAGTGGAGCATGTGCACTTAACCACTAAGCCACGGGGCCGGCCCCCTAATTATATTTTTATCCTACTTAGTGTGCATTTTTATACATTTTGCTTTGGAAACATTAAGGTGTTTGGATATGAGGTACTGAGCTAGACCCCATGGGGGATGTGACATCTTATATGGCATGGGTACAGGTTTCTGCAGTTGAAACTGTCTGAATTCTGAAACACACTTGACCTCAAGGGTTTGGAAGAGGGATTGGCGGCCTAAACAAGCCCACACAGGAAATGTTCCCCCACCTTACATCAGAGACAGCTCACTAGCACCTTGTGACGTCCGGTTGTGACATCCTGGCAGTATAGGTGGTCCTTGTTCTGTGCAGTGTTCTGTGGTGTGCGTGCCCTCCACTTATTTGGTTGGTCTCCTACTGCTGGGTACTTGGTGCACATTTTTGTTTTTTCGAGGAAGATTGGCCCTGTGCTAACATCTGTTGCCAATCTTCTTCTTTTTTTTTCTTTTTTCTCCCCAAACCCCCAGGACATAGTTGTGTATCATAGTTGTAAAGTTGTAGCTCTTCTATGTGGGACGCTGCCTCAGCATGGCTTGATGAGCAGTGAGTAGGTCCATGCCCAGGATCTGAACCAGTGAACCCTGGGCTGCTGAAGCGGAACGTGTGAATTTAACTGCTACGCCTCCAGGCCGGCCCCTCTTTTTTTTTTCAATTGTGATTTTAAAAAACACATAGCACAGGGGCCGGCCCAGTGGTGCAGGCTTTGGTGGCCCCGGGGTTCATCAGTTCGGATCCCGGACGCACACCGACGCGCCGCTTGTCAAGCCACACTGTGGTGGCGTCCCATATAAAGTACAGGAAGATGCGCGCGGATGTTAGCCCAGGGCCAATCTTCCTCAGCAAAAAAAGGAGGATTGGCATCAGATGTTGGCTCAGGGCTGGTCTTCCTCACAGGAAAAAGAAAAAAAACAGACACATAGCATAAAATTTGCCATCTTAATCATTTTTAAGTGTTTAGCTCAGTAGTGTTCATCCAATCTCCAGAACATTCTTATCTTGCAAAACTGAAACTCTGTACCCGTTAAACAACAGCTCTCCATTCCCTTCTCCCCCTAGCCCCTGGTAACCACCATTCTACTTTCTGTTTCTGTGATTTGACTACTCTAGGGACCTTTTATAAGTGGAATCATATATTTGTTGTTTTGTGACTGGCTTCTTTCACTTAGCATAATGTATACCTTCAAGGTTCATCCATGTTGTAGCAGGTTTCAGAATTTCTTTTCTTTTTAAGGCTGAACAATATTCTGTTGTATGGATATACCGCATTTTATTTATCCATTCGTCTGTCGCCGGACAGTCGGGTTGTTTCTGCCTCTTGGCTATTGTGAATAGTGCTGCTACGAGCATGGATGTATGAATATCTCTTCGAGACTCTGCTTTCAGTTCTTTTGGATATATACCCAGAAGTGGAATTGCTGGATCATATGGTGATTCTATATTTAATTTTTGAGGAACCACCATACTGTTTTCCACAGCAGCTGCACCATTTTACATTCCCACTGACAGTGCACAAGGGTTCCCATTTCTCCATATCCTCGCCAACACTTGTTATTTTGTTTTTTTGGTGGTGGCCATCCTAATGGGTATGAGGTGTGAACATCTTTTAAAATTTTTTTCTCCTTTTAAGTTTTTATTTTGACATAATTTCAGAGTTACAGAAACAGTAAGACTATGGTAAAGAATTAAACACCCATTTTTGGTTAAAAACAGCAAAAACAAAAAAGGAGTAGATATATATATATATATTTTTGGCCTTTTTTTTCCACTCCCTCTTATTTTGAAAGACATCAATCATATGGAAAAGTTGAAGGATAGACATAGTGAGCACCTGTGCCCTTTGCCTGGGTTCATCAGGGATTGACACTTTGCCATATGCACTTCAGAGTAAGTTGCAGATATGACAGTTTTTCTCACAATACTTCAGTGTGCTTCTAAGAATAAGGACCTTCTCTAACACATCTATGATATCATTATAAATCTGAGAAAATTTACGGTCGTTCTATAAGTTCATCTGGTATTGAGTCCATATTTACATTTTCATAATTATTTCCAAAACGTCTTACATCTCCTCCCTCCCTGCTCCATTCAGGATCCAGTCAAGGTCCACGCATTGCATGTATCCTTTCTTAAGATGGTAAAGTCTGTCTGAGTCAATCCAAGTGCCCACACCCTGCTCGAGGGGTCAGTGCTCCAGTGTTGCCGTCCCCACTGTGGCTGATGTGGTCCTGGAGGTCTTGGGCATGCAATAGCACAGTTCTGGAAAGTCCCAGAGAGCTGGCCAGACCACTCCAAAGAGTGAGTCAAAGTACTGAGAAACATGGGACAGCATGCCGAGGTGCTGCGTGTGGAGTAATATGTCTAGGAGTAAACATAACATATATGTGCCAGGTCTGTGGGGAGGTGACCTGCAAGACCTCCAAAGAGATCCCGAGGCTGGCTTGGCCGACAAGCACACCATGTCCATTACAGAGATGCTGGCTCTCTCTACATCAATCTAGATGTTTAACATGTTCCCAATGAAAATACCAAGAGAGTTTCCTGGGGGGAGTTGCACACACTGATTCTAAAGTCCAGATTTAAAAAAGCAAGCAATGGCCAGGGAAGTGTTGAAAACAAAGGTAATGAAAGGAGACTGGCCTTACCCTATGTTAATACATATTACGAAGCTGCAGTAATTGAAACTGTGCTTCTGGTGCATGGAGATGGATAGATGATTGGAAAAGGATATAGGGAGTTTGGACACAGACACCACCCCATCAGGACCTTTCTGTGTGATGAAGATGACATCACAAGTGGGGGAAGGTGATAGCAGGGTTACCATCTGGAAAACCAGAAAGTGGGACCCTTGCTTCACACCTTGTACCAAAATAAATTTCAGGTGGAGCAACAATTTTAACAGTTTAGCAGTTTCTTTTTTTTTTTTTTAATTTTTATTTATTTATTTTTTTTCCCCCAAAGCCCCAGTAGATAGTTGTATGTCATAGCTGCACATCCTTCTAGTTGCTGTATGTGGGACGTGGCCTCAGCATGGCCGGAGAAGCAGTGTGTCGGTGCGCGCCCGGGATCCGAACCCCGGGCCGCCAGCAGCAGAGCGCGCGCACTTAACCACTAAGCCGTGGGGCCGGCCCTGGAGCAACAATTTTAAATGTGAAAGATTAAACCAAAAAACTAGAGGAAAACATGGGGGAGTGTTTTTCAATGTAATTTCAGAAAGAGAAAGCCTTTCTGTTTGACGCAAAGCTCACAGGCAAAAAAGAAAATGATAAATTTGCATTCAAAACAGAGAAACTTCTGCATGGCAAAAAGCATCATAAAATCAAAAGATTTGAGGTAGAAAAAAGAAATTCAGCTCATCCAAAAAGGGCAGAGTTCTTCAAATTGACAAGGCAGAGAGTCTAATAGAAATTAGGCAAAGTGTGTGAACTAGTCAGAAAAGAAAATAGAAGTGACTGTTAAACATTTGACAAGATTATCTGTCCCATTTGTTACAGGGTTTCTCCCTTACAAGGTTGATAGCATGGGGCAATACTATTGAAGTGTAAATCTATATAAACTTTTTGTCCCAGCAGTTCCTTTCGTAGGAATTAATCCTGGCAGCACATAAGCAAAATGTCGTAGGGGTAAGGCCATCCATTCATTGGGTGAAATGATGGGGGATTAGAAGTAACCCAAGTGTACCCCAGCAGGAGCAGGTAAATCAGTTATGATAGCCTTTCAGGGAGAGCGTCAGCCCTGTGTGTACCAATCAGGAGCTATTTCCAAGGTGTATTGTTAAGTCAAAGCATGATGCGGAATATAAGGTTCATGAACTGCCCCTGGGGATAGCGCTGCCCTGGGGAGGGGGACTGGTGGCTGGGAGCAGAGAAGCGAGGGAAACAGACTTTAACCCTTTTACATATTTTGTCTTCTACCCAGTATATGTGTCACCTAGTCAAAAAATAAACAAAATGTGGGGGCCAGTGCCGTGGCTTAGCGGTTAAGTGCACACGCTCCGCTACTGGCGGCCCGGGTTCGGATCCTGGGCGCGCACCAACGCACCGCTCCTCCAGCCATGCTGAGGTGGCATCCCACATACAGCAACTAGCAGGATGTGCAACTATGACATGCAACTATCTACTGGGGCTTTGGGGAAAAAAAGGAGGAGGATTGGCAATAGATATTAGCTCAGAGCCGGTCTACCTCAGCAAAAGGAGGATGATTAGCATGGATGTTAGCTCAGGGCTGATCTTCCTCACACACACACACAAAAAAATGTAAAGATGGTTATTCTATCATCTCCATGTTGCTGACTGTCATATTTTAGCCCTGATGCCTCTCTTGACCACTGCCTCTCCACTCTGCACACCTAATTAATGTCTCCACTGGGATGCCTCAGGGGTGCCTCACACTGATGGTGCCACAGTGGGACTTTGCTGCCCTCTTTGACCCTGTTTATCCCAAGTCCCCGTCCACCCTGCTGCTGCACCATGACCACAGCCGAGGGCCCTGACTCCTCCCCTGCTTTCCTAGATCCAGTCCATCAGCATGTTTTCTCCACTTGGCCCCAGGGTAGTCTCAACTATAGCTCTCCAGCCACATGGCACTCCCCAGGCCTGCAGAAACCTTCCTGCCTCTTCTCTAGCCTCTCTGCTCTGGCCAGTAAGCACTGAGTCTGAAAAGTCAGTCAGCTCACACCACTCTCCTGAATAAAATTCCCCAACAGCGCCTCGTTATGCTTGGATTTCAATCCGGACTCTACCCTGCCCTGGGGGTAGAAGGACCTGGCCCTGTCTCACCTCCCCGTTCACTTCCTCCTCGCCCTGGCTGCCCTGCGGGCACAAGTTCATGCTTGCCCTGGGACTTGGGTTCCTGTTTCCTCCACCTGGAACACCGTCCACTAGCTGGTGAGGTGCTGCTCAGCCTCATCTCAGTTCCTCACAGTGGGTCCTCTCTGCCCCTCATCGCTCTCTACCTGCTCCGCTTTTCCAGCTGGCACTCCTAGATCAGATGCCCTATTGCACTCCTTCCTGGCATTTCCACAATCTGAAATACCTCACTTTTTAATTTTTTGTCATCGTCCTTAGCATTAAACTCTGCGTACGTGGGAATCTTGCTGCTTTACTTCACTGTTGCTCCTTCCGCTCTTTGAATGGTATCTGGCCTTTAGTAGGCGCTCAGTAAATATATGTTGAATGGAATGATTTCTTTCTTGTTTCCATTCATTCATTCATAACATGCTCTGGGCTGCTGCTGTGATCCAGGAAGCCTGCTAGTGGATGCAACAGCAATCAAGCCAGACATGACTCCTGCCTTCAGGGGGCTCATGTGCAACTCCCTGGGGCACATGAAATGGAGACAGGGCAGTTCCTAGGATGGCTGCCCAAACGTGATTGGGAGCTCGTGGGTGCCTTCTGTGAGATGACTCAGTGCTCAGAGCGAGCCAGCATCCCATCCCACAGTGCTGCCAGGTCAGCCCGCTCCCCGCTCCCCGCTCCCGATGCTCTTGCTCTTTGCGGCCTGGGCTGGCCTCCTGACTGGTGTAACTTCACTCTCTCATGTTTTCACTTTGCAGAGGAATGTTTGCTGGGGGATTGAAGGAGATGGAGCAGGAAGAGGTCCTGATCCATGGTGTGTCCTACAATGCCATGTGCCAAATCCTGCATTTCATATACACCTCCGAGCTGGAGCTCAGCCTGAGCAATGTCCAGGAGACGCTGGTCGCTGCCTGCCAGCTTCAGGTGAGGCTCTCCTCATTTGAGCAGGGCAGATTCATACCCGGGTGGAGTTTCCCCAGGTGCCTACCGGGCAGTGGCACGAGGATGGGTCAGGCAGGTGAGGACACCAGGCAGTGAAGGAGAGCACGGGCGGAGCGGAGGCTCTCGGGTGGTGTGTGGCTTAGCCAGCCCTGGCGGCTGAAGCAGAGCTGCTCTGAAGGCCTCCTGGCCCAGGCTCCTGCTCTGCCTTTGCCCTCTGCTCTTTTGCTGGTTCTTTCCCCTCTACCTGGGTCTCCCTGCTGCTGAAAAGATTCTGCATGTAAATGAGTGGCTGACCCTAGGCCGAGTGTGTCATGTCCTGTGTGTGGGGGCATCTGGCAAAGCTGAACTTCCCCCAGCATCGCCTAGACCTTTTCTGCCCTCCTCTCCACTTGGCCTTGTCGATGTCTTTGAAACTGCTTTCCTTTTTGTCACTGAACTTTGAATACTTGTTTTTCTACGGAATTCAAAAAGTTTCCTGAGGCTTAGATAGTGTAACTTACTTTTTAGAAGACTGTTAACTCTCGGCGGTGTTGGTACAGTCAACACGGGGCTGGGACTGCGCATGGCCTTTGCTCTCAGGAGCTGTCCATTAGGCGGCCAGATCTGGGTCAAGAGACATCTCTTCCCACATTTCCTGAAAGTGAAATGAAATGCCATGCTGAAGCTGAGTTTGTTATCCTGACCTTTTTTCAAGTCAGAGCACGTTTGGGGCAATCAGGAAAAACTCAAGTCATAGGAAAACCAATACTTTCAGAGGGTCTGGAGGCCCCACCCTGTGTGGCAGGGCCTTGGCAGCTCCCTGTGCCCTGTGACTCAGAGTGGCAGGTGGGAGGCCTCGATCCTTGCTTGTTGGGTTGGTTTGAGTGAGGCTCGCCTTGCCATACCTGATTGGTAGGTGGAGTTGAGCTAAGGCAGCCTATAGGACTAAGGAATTTCCCCTCCTTTTATTCAGGGATCTCTTCTGTCCCCGCTCTCCTTGTCGTTGTTGCTTTGGGACCCCTCATCTAGTTCTTGCAACAGTTAACTCCTGTATTCAGCTGCCTCCAGAACCTTTCCACCCAGAGGGCTCACCAGCAGCGTCCGTCTCCTGCACACCACACACTCCCTCCCCATTCCCCTGGTTGTGTTTCCTACAAGCATTCTGCCAGCGCCCTGGGTGCAGAGCCTCTGTGTCTCCTTGAGCCCTTCCATCTTTGTTCCCTGTGTCCAAGTTTGGACAAGTCGTCCTTGTAAATATTACCCGTAGCTATCTCTGTTCTCTGTTTCCGGGTCTTCACCTTTACCTGGCTTCTGTCTCTCCGTTTTTCCCTCCCAGCTAGTCCCTGCCTTATTCTCTTCCCGGCATCCATCACGCACATCGACACCAAACCATCTTCTCAAACACCACTTTCCCTCTCCCATCTGTCAGCCCAGAGACCTGCTGTAGCCCGCCATCGCTCACGGCAGAGGTTTGGCCAGTGCTCCGAAGCCATTGCCAGGGGCAGCACGGGAGGGGGAGGCTGCACTTCACCTCGAGCAACCCAGCTTTGTTTTGTTTTATTTTTAACAAATGAGCTTCTATGCAACGTTGTTTTTAAAGCAAGTTTTACTTGGCATAACAGTTTCAAGTCCATAGGCCCACCAGTGGCCTATGTTCATGTAGCCAGTGACTGTTGGTGGCTTGCCCCCATGTGCTATGCCCTGTATGAGCTCAGGTTCAGACTCTTTGTGGTGTCCTCAGGGACCAGGGTCTGAATCCCAGCAAGACCGTTCCCACTGGGTCACCCCCAGCAAACGAGTTCCCATCCCTGAGCCTCTTGTGGGGCTCCTGCACGGGGTGGGCCTGGTGGGATTCCTCTGTGGGAGTCCGCCTGGCAGAGGGCCCGCTGCTCTGATGAGGATGGGAAGGGGAGGGTAACACAGTCCTTGTGCCAGGAGGCTTGGGTTCTTCAGGAGCTGCTTCTCAGGCCCACTGAGGGCTGTTTGCTCTCCCCTTGTACCCAGACCCTGGTCTGCAGTGTCCTGGCCCACGACAAGTCAGAAGTAGTATTTTAGGGAGACGAAGCAAAGCAGAAGTGCCTGCTGAGGAGAAAACAGGTGATCAGTGAAGACTGTCGGGACCTCACAGAGCCCTGTGGGGGCATCTGTCGGGGGCAGACAGGCACGTGGCACTTTGCAGGTTTCCATTCAGCCCTTAGCATATCACCTGGCAAGCACTAAATGTCTTTTGAATCAGAAAAAATAAAAAGGTTTTAAACATATTTAATAAGCTTCAAATGCCAGCAGAATTACTCTGTGTGCACTAGTTAATTTGTTGATGATCCTGGATAAGTGAGGTATTCCCATTTTTAGAGAAATTTGAAATCCTGTTTACCTGAAGAATTGAGCAGTACCTGGGCAGCTTTCCCTAGAGCCCCTCCCTCTGTGTCCTTTCATTCTGCCTTGCTTTGGTTACCTGATCACGGGGTGCTCTTTAACCTTGTGGCCCAACTGTCAGTTCCCACCTAAGCGCCTTCTCTCTCTTGCCTGCCTTCCAACCCACCAGTCTTCTGTGCGGCTGGGAAAGGGAAGGTGCAGGCCACCTGGGAGCCTCCTCGCTAACTGGAGTCCCGTAGGCCTCCGCCCAAGCAGGATGGTGTCCAGCTTTTCAAGAACTCTGAATCAGGTTCCCAGGACGGGTGCTGGGGGAGTGTCTGGGAACGCGCTACTGGCGGCTCACAGTGTGTGGGCAGTTCCGGGCCCTGCTCCTGGGGCAGAGGGTGTCTTCCCTGGACCTGCAGCTTTGGCTGGGCCTCCAGTTGTGGGGGTTGTGGCAAGAGAACAGAGCTGGGTGTCTTCTAGAGGGCCCACGGAGGGGCCTCCGAACCAGGGATAGCTGACATTTGTGCTGCTTTCTGCTCCTCTGGATATCCAGTACTTTGATCTGAAAGGCAACTGACATATATCAGGGGTCCATGCTGTGCCAGGTAGTTCCTGTGCACTATCTCATTGTCATTTGTTCCTCCCCACTTTAACTATCCCTGTTTTATGGATGAGGAAACTGAGGCTCAGAGAGGTAAAGAACATGCCACAGACCACTTCCGAGCCAGGATTTAAACCCAGTCAGTCTGCAGTGAGGCCCAGTTGTCTCTAGTTTGTTGTGGGAGAGCGGCCACGCCAGCCTCCAAATCAGGAAAGGGTGGGGTCTCTTGGGGGGGCTGAGGGGAAACTACAGCTGACAGCTGCATAAGCCCCGTTGTCTGCCATCATGCTGTCTCCCACGCCCAGACACCGTCCCCAGGCTTGAATGGGTTTTGTTCTCTTCACAGATCCCAGAAATCATCCATTTCTGCTGTGATTTCCTTATGTCCTGGGTGGATGAGGAGAATATCCTTGACGTCTACCGGCTGGCGGAGCTATTTGACTTGAGCCATCTGACTGAGCAGCTGGACACCTACATCCTCAAAAACTTTGTGGCCTTCTCACGGACTGACAAGTACCGCCAGCTTCCCCTGGAGAAGGTGTACTCCCTCCTCAGCAGCAACCGCTTGGAGGTCTCCTGCGAGACGGAGGTGTACGAGGGCGCCCTGCTCTACCATTACACGCTGGAGCAGGTGCAGGCCGACCAGATCTCGCTGCACGAGCCCCCCAAGCTCCTAGAGACGGTGCGGTTTCCCCTGATGGAAGCCGAGGTCCTCCAGCGGCTGCATGACAAGCTGGACCCCAGCCCACTGAGAGACATGGTGGCCAGCGCCCTCATGTACCACCGGAACGAGAGCCTGCAACCCAGCCTGCAGAGCCCGCAGACGGAGCTGCGGTCGGACTTCCAGTGCGTTGTGGGCTTCGGGGGCATTCACTCCACACCGTCCACTGTCCTCAGCGACCAGGCCAAGTACCTGAACCCCCTGCTAGGAGAGTGGAAGCACTTCACCGCCTCCCTGGCCCCCCGCATGTCCAACCAGGGCATCGCGGTGCTCAACAACTTCGTATATCTGATTGGAGGGGACAATAACGTCCAAGGGTTCCGTGCCGAGTCCCGATGCTGGAGGTAGGAAAGGGCCCTTGGTTGTACCTTGGTCTTGCGCGTGACACTGTGGCGCAGGAGTCTTGGGCTCGGAGGGCTGATTAGGGAGTGGGTTCTGCAAGAGTACGTCACTACGTGCCACAGCAGTCAGCCTTTCAAATCCGTCTTGCTGCTTGTTGGGGTACACATGTTTTGTAGAATAAAGTCCAGGTTAATTTGGCCAATATGGATGGCAGTAAGATAAGGAAAAGGGGGACCTGGAATGCTTTCTTTCATTCTTGTCCCCTTCTCCTTGTCAGAAACCCACTCACCCTGGGTCACACCTGCTGTCTTGTGAATGAGGGGTTGGGTTGTGACTGCATTTGGCTGAGCACAGGAGAGGGGAGCCCCTGGCGGGAAGGGCTGTCGGGCCTTGGAAGGGACCTAGGAGCTGGGAGCACTGCACAGGATGCTCCTTCCATCCTGCCCTCTTGAGCTTTGACACGTCTCATCCGAACTTCCCTTCACCTATCTGTTTTGCTCTTCTCCTAACCACAAGCCCGTGGTGGAGGATGGCTTCCTGTTGCTGCCACTCCTCTGAGTGCACAGTCCTCAGCCCAGGGGAGCAGGAAAGGCTGACAGGCATTGCTGAGCCCCATGCCAAATTTTCTCCTGGCCCTGTCGTCAGCTGTGTGCTGGGCACAAGGTTCCTGAAGGAGGCAGTTTTTCCAGAGGGGGTTTTGTGGACTGCCATGGTCTGTAGGACTCAGGCCGTGATCCCTCAAATCCATGGCTTTGGGCAGAGCAGGGCAAGTAGGGCAGATCCCCACGGCCTCAGCTACCATCAGGTTTCCAGGGCCCCCTCCACTGTACTTTGGTTTGATTTCTTGGGATTAGGTGCCTGTGGGAAGTTTTGGCCCCCTGCAAAAGCTGAAAGATGGCACTGCAAAGAGAGAGATTGCTAACTGCTTCCGGTAGCTGTGAGCTAGCTGCTGACTGAGTTCATGTTCATGTTTCCGTCGTCGGGGATGGGGGTGGGGTCTGGTCTGGCCGTGCCCCTCAGAAGCAAGCATGGTGACCTGAGCATGGTGACTGTGACCAAGGAGGAGACGGCCATTCCTCAGCCACCTCTGCTCTCCTGGCCCCAGGAAGTGATCACCTTTGTTAAACTGATAAGATCCAAAGCTTGGCAGCGAATTGTGGTTAAACAGGAGGACGGGCTGCGTTCAGAAAGGAGGAAACAGTATCTTCATTTTCTCCCTAACCAAATGCCATCCCTAGTGGATGTGGCAGCACCAGCTTCAAGCCTTCCTCCAGGTAAGTCTTGAAGCTTTTATTTTAGGGGGCTCAGCTTCCCAGTTGGAGGGCCAAGGCCAGACCTCCTGGCTGAGAGCAACCCACAGACTTGCAAAGCAGACCTCTCCAGAGTGTTGTGGTCTCAGGCGGTAAGCACAAGGTGGGTGGGGCAGCTACGTGCCCTCAGGGAGGCCTCAGGGCTTTCCTGCAGAGCTGTCCCTGGGGGGTTGGGGGGGTGGGCAGAGGGGTTGCTGCTGCCTGCCCCTGTAGTGTGTCCGGTTACGCGTCATGGATGTCAGTTTGTCAGTTTCACTCGAGAGTGGTCTAAAAGTCCTTTTCGTGAACATATGCTGTAAGACCCATGCTGAACTCTGGAAAATGCTATTATCAGCCCCTGTGATTGGTAACCACAGCCTCAAACTCCAGTCAAGACGTTGGATCACTGGCATGTGGGGTTGGTGAGACGTCCCTGGTGGGAGCAGGCATCACTGAGGGGCTAGGGTGCAGAATGTCTGTCCCAGGGGGCGAGGAGGGCCCCGGGTCTGTCATCTCTAAAGAGTGAAAGTTTCGTTAATCTCCCCTGGGGAATGGCCTGAGTTTGGTTCTCTCCCTTTTCCCCCCTCATAGTTCGCCAGCCTGAGAACCTACAGGCTCTCAGAATCTAAGAAAGCTAGATTTTGCAGTAAATTAGGGTTTACATTTTGAGGTGTTAGGGACTTTACCAGGTTATATCTTAAAGAATTGGTACAGAAACTGCGTATAAAAGGTTACCTCTCTCGGAGCAAATTGTATTTACCTCCAAGATACCACTGTTTCTTTTTTCTTTCTTTGATTGCATCTATATTATCCACATTGCTTTTGCATCTTCTCCACAGCTACAGCCCTGTGAGCTACTGAATACCGACCGCACCCTTACCTGGTAGCAGCTGCTTCCATGTTGCCCCTGGTCCTGACCCTACTTAGGGTAATCACTGTTTTTTTTCCTTAGGCATTTCCATGACTATTAATATTTTAAACTATATTTCAAAAAATTTTTTAAACTGTAGTGGACTTTTTTAATAGTCATGGAATGCTTAAGTCATGATAATATAGACGATGAATAGTCTACTAAATTTAACAAGGACTCTAGAAAACATTTGTACCAATTCTAGATTTCACTTTTGAGTTTGCGGTGGGATGATCCAAAATTGGCATTAGGGCCAGCCCCAGTGTCCTGGTGGTTAAGTTTGGCATGCTCCACTTCAGTGGCCCAGGTTCGGTTCCCAGCGTGGACCTACACCACTCATCTGTCAGTCGCCATGCTGTGGTGGCGGCTTACATACAAAAAAAAAAAAAAAAAAAATTTTAAAATCGGCATTAGGGCTGGCCCCGTGGCTTGGCGGTTAAGTGTGCACACTCCGCAGCTGGCGTCCCGGGTTCAGATCCCGGGTGCGCACCAACGCACCGCTTCTTCGGCCATGCTGAGGCCGCGTCCCACATACAGCAACTAGAAGGATGTGCAACTATGACATACAACTATCTACTGGGGCTTTGGGGGAGAAAAAGGAGGAGGATTGACAATGGATGTTAGCTCGGAGCCGGTCTTCCTCAGCAAAAAGAGGAGGATTAGCATGGATGTTAGCTCAGGGCTGATCTTCCTCATACACGCACACACAAAAAAATCAGTGTTAAAGTGACTAAAACTGTATATATGCAGTTATAAAGCTTGTTTTTATTTGAAACAAATATTACTTGATTTATTCTGACCAAGTGGAAGATTAATCCAATAAAGAGGAAAATGTGAGATACAGGACACAGTGAGGACATAAGAAATCAGTGAAACTGTGGTTATGTCTAAATTATGATGTACTGTGTCTGTATATGTGTGTGCGCGCGCGCGTGTGTGTGTTTCCTTAAATCTGAAACCACAAATCCAAATGAACTCAGGCTGGGAACCTGTGAGGGCAGGACACCAGAAGGAAGTAAGTGGAAGCATCTGGAGAGTTTTGTCTCATTCTGGTGGAAGATGCTGAATTGGGCTTGATTGAAAATAGGGGAGAAGAGACATACATGAATGAGTGTCGTGCACAGGAAGGGCGGTGGAAGGCACCATCTCAGCCAGTTGACGGGGCTTCTGTGAATACTGCGCCCTGGACTGGCCTGGCTGCCTGTCCCCAGCCAGACCTTCACCTGGCTCAGCCCCCCCGTCATTCAGGGCTCAAACACCACCTTCTAAAGAGGCCCTTCCTGGTCTCCGTAGAGAGCTCTGCCCTCCCCAGCCCCTGCTGCCTAGTAGATCACGCTCTCCTTACTCCCTTTTTTTATGGAGCACTTGTGTACTTTGTTCTCTGTAGCGTGTTTGCCATGCTACAGTGGAAAGCAGGGCCCTCGTCTCTGGATTCCCAGCACTGAGCACCATGCCTGATCCACGTTGGGTGACCAGTGAATATTAGTAGAGTGAATGAATGATTTCGCTGTTGGTAATCTGACTCCTTTGTTCAGTGGAGCAGACAGTGCATGCTCTGCCCTGAGCCAGCTGCTGAGCTGAGGTCTAGGAACACAGCCATGAGCCTCGGTCCTTCACGAACTCCTCGCAGGTTAACAAGGACCTTTTAATGTGTGTCATCCTTTATGATCCTTCATGATAGCTTTTCTAGGCAGGCAATGTCACCCACTGGACACGTGCAAAAACTGAGTGAGTGATGCCCAGATACACCCAGCTAGACGGGTAGAGCCAGCATTCAGACCTGGATCTGTGTGACCCAGGTACATGTTCTTTCTCTCCTCTTTGCCTGACTCTTGGGGCATCCTGTCTCCTATGATTCCTAGCTGGCAGGGTGAGGCTGGCCAAATGGCGCAGCAGAAAGGAGAGGCTACAGAGCACGTCTAACTTGTGCTTTGGGGCAAAGGATGAAACCGATCTCTTCACTGACCAGCATACAGCACAGGCCAAAGAACACTTTATTCACTCTCTTCTGAGCCAGTGGAAGTTCAGCTTATCCTCTTTGGAGTTGGTCTTACTATGGAGAAGTAAAAACACTTATCTGAAAAAGCCTGCGACTATGCATGGGCTGTTGAGCAAGGAGGCTCCAGAAGCAGGCGCTCAGATGCTGATTCCTGGGTGGATGCCCAGGGTAAAGGGCCAGATGCAGGTCAGGGAAAGAGTGAGCTTTGGGCCTCTGGCTCATGGGGTCCTGGCCCCCTCGAGGTTCTGTGGGTATCTGTATTCATCCAAACAGCATACCTGCTTGGGTGCCCAGCAGAGTGCCAGGCCTGGGGCATGGAGAGAGGGAAGAGGCAGTGGGAGGCCCCCAGGAAGTGGGGCAAGCCTGGGGCAGGGCTGATGCTGGAAAAGTGGGCACGGACTTGGGCTGCTAAGGGCCTCAGCTGCCTAGCTAAGGCGGAAGGATTTTGGTGTGTGAGCAGAGGCTTTGCTGGTGAGGATGGGATCAGATAGACAGAGGGAGCGTAGGGTTCCATTTAGGACAGGTGAGCAGCCAGCTGGAGATGGCTAGGAGGTGTTTGCAGTGTGAGTTTGAAGTCCAGGAGAAAACAATGGGTGATAGTTGGGCGTTCTGGGGCGGCTGAGATCACCTGAGTTGAGAATGCAAAGCCCTCTGAGGGCAGAAGAGGGGCAGGGGGCCTCAGAGGGGTTGTGGGAGGGGGCAGCTCCACGCAAGAGTGCAGAATGAAGCTGCTGCTTGGGGACTAGACTTTTTTACCAAGGGTGATGGGTAAAGAAGGAGAAGGCAAGGCTGTGCCTTGGGCACAGCTGCATCTCCTGTGAAAGAGCCATGAAGGGGGCCTAGTGTCAGGAGAGCAAGCTTCTGAGCTTCCATAACAGTGCTGGTATGGCTCTGGGGCTCAGCAGAGGTCCCCTTCCCTCCCTTCCCTGCGCCTGCTCTCCCGGGCAGCCCCTCAGCCCAGCGGCCCTCCTCCAGCCTCGTGGATGCCAGCCCAGCATCTTTCCTCCTGTGAGAGTACCTGGAAGCCCACAGGACCCCTCCCTCACGGTGCCCACAGTCCAGTGTGGGAGATAGCGCTCCCAATCCTCCAGCTGGGGAGGTCGGGGAAGCTGTAGGAATGGCAACAGGACAGTTAAGAGAGGCACATGAAGTGATGAAGGGGTGGGCTGTGTCTGGCAGACCATGCGAGGGAGTGTTGGAGTTGGTTGGAGGCCCGGAGGCTGTTGTGCCAGTCCAGTTGAGAGGCCATAATTGGGGGCATTCCTGGATGAGGGTGGGGCCGTGGGGACCAGGAGGTGAGACAAGTGAGGTGGAGGTGGCTGTAGGAACAGCCATTGGGCAGCCTGGTGTGGACAGTCAGGTGGACTAGAAACCACCCAAGAGGTTCCACCTGGAAGGGACTGGCATCAGAGCAGAAATCCAGGAGGCTCCTGGCCACGCTTTCTGGGCTGTGTGCTGGGGATACACCTTGCTCAGGTGTGTATCAGCTTGCTGATGTGGCTATGGGTGGGCATGTACCGGTGTGTGGGCAGCCAGGAGAGGGTTCAGGGTACACGGGCAGAGCAAGAGGTGCAGGCCTGCTGGGCAGGCTCTGTCGCCGTCAGTGATGTGTTGTCTTCGTGTCCCCTCAAAAGGTACGACCCGAGGCACAACCGCTGGTTCCAGATCCAGTCCCTGCAGCAGGAGCATGCCGACCTGTGTGTGTGTGTTGTGGGCGGGTACATCTACGCGGTGGCTGGCCGTGACTACCACAATGACCTGAATGCTGTGGAGCGCTACGACCCCACCACCAACTCCTGGGCCTACGTGGCCCCCCTTAAGAGGGAGGTAAGGAAGTCCTCCAAGAGGGGCCTTCTCCTGCCTGCTTTCCTTCCCCAGGGTGTGCAAAGTGAGAGGGAAGCCAGGCCAGGGAACCAGGCCCAGCACGCGGAGTCTGCATCCCTCCAAAGACTCTGCACGGAGATAGGGGTGGGGGACCCCTGAGGTTCACCAGCCACCTAGGGAGAGCCTCCTCAAGCATCCAGATCAGACCCCATTCCCCAGAATTTCACCCCTGTCTTGGTCTCACCACCTTGGCCCCAGGAAGCTGCTTTAACCCTGCAGTTCAAATGTAGACAGAATCCTCCTCCTTGTTTGCCCTTCAGCACGGCTGAGATGAGCTGGGATATGTCCAAAGATGATGTTAAACAGGAGGGACACTGAGAGAGATGAAGCCTCAGACTTCTCCCCCACAGGCCTCCTGGAGGGTGGGGTCTTCGAGAAGTCAAAAACACTTTAGAAGTTGTATTTTTCATGCTTTTTAAAAAAATCCTGTGTATCCTGGCACAATACTTTGCTTTGTTACAGTGTTTAAAATGTGGGAAAAGGTGATGCTTTAGGGAGGTGCCTTTTATCTTATAAGATAAGATAAGATAAAAGGGGTCCTGGGACCCTGGCCCCTGAATCAGACACGAAATCCCAGGGCGAGGAAGAGGCCTTGCTGATCCCTCACATCCCGGGTCCCACCCTCTGAGAGCAGGGTCTGCGCCCTTCTAGCACCGGCATTGCCATTTGTGGAGCACATGCTACAGGCCAGGACACCTTTGGGGATCCCCGAGCACCCCAGAGGCAGAGATTGGTGTGAGGGACGTGCATAGGGCTCTGCCGCACTAGTTCTGGGACACTGGCAAGAGCTCCTGCCTTTGTGAACCTCTTTCCACACCTCCCCCCTTTATCTCCCACCTTTCCCCCAAGTTCCCCAGGGCCTTAGACTTTGACCTCTGGGGGCTGGGGTTCTTCCTGATGGGTCTACAGCCCACGCAGCCTCCAAGGTCAGGGATTCCCACCATGGTTCCTCCCAGGCAGGGAAAGCTGGCTTGCTCCTTCCTCCTCAGCTTCTTTGGGGAAGGGAGCCCCTCTGGAGGGTTACTCCCTACCCCTGTCCTCGAGAGAGGAGCAGATTTTGCATGGGAAAGATCAGGGAGTCCTTGAGACCTGATAGACGAGGACAGTCTCCTGAATTCCCTTCCAGTTCCAGGAGGCACAGAAGGGAGTGAGTGGGAGTGAGTGGGTGGCCTCCTGGGTGGGTGGGGGTGGGCTGGAGGGGTCCTTTGTCTGAAGCCAGCCTGGGAAGCCGCAGTTCTCCAGTGTGGCCACAGAGGGGCAGCCTTGGCCTTCAACCAGCTTCTCTCTGACTTCAGTGTCCTTCCTTCATACGTTCATTCATTCAGCAACTATTTATTAAGCGCCTACCATATACCAAGTACTGGGGATCCAGTGGTGATAAAAAATGACAACAGCCCCCCCCATGATGTTTACAGCCTAGGGGGAGAGACCATTCTAACCACTAAACAAATCAGTGAAGTAGTTCCCAGTTGTGATAAGTGTGGTGGAAGAAATTGAGAGGGTTGAGCTTAACAGTGCTCAGGGAAGGGGGAGGACAGCACGTCTCTTGGTCTGACAGGATGAATCTAGATAGACGACTTGGGAAGGCCCATCTGGGGAGATGTCAGTTAGACCAAGGTCTAAAGGAAGATGGGCAGCCATTTGGAGAGGGAGGAAGGGCCTTCCAGGCCAAGAGGGGGGCTTCACAGTTTATTCTGAGAAAGAGGGCAAGCATGGTGCGTTCTTGTGAAGAGAGGAGGGTTTGGAGGGGCAGGACCAAGGAGAGCAGTTCCGGGGCTGTTGGGTGGTCCAGGCAGAAGCAGGGGTGGCTTGTGTGAGGGTGGAGGCTGTGAAGAAGGAGGGAGATTGGCAGATTGGAGACGTAGTTTAGAGGTAAACTGACCAGACTTGCTGATGGACCACGTGTTAGGGAATGAAAGGGGATGGATCGTGGAAGACCCCCAGGCTCCAGATGTGAGCACCTGGGTGGATGGCTAGGCCACTCATCAAGAGGACAGATGGGTTCCGAAATGAAAAAGAAGGAAAAGTTCCATCTAGAATGTGATAAATGTGAGATGCCTGGGGACATCCAATTGGAAATGTCAGTTTGATATTAAAAGTCAAGCTCAGGGGAGGGGTCAGCCTAGAAGTAGAAACGTGGAGAATTCATCAGCACACAGTGGTGTGCTGGCTCTGGGAATGGCTGTGATCAGCGCAGAGGAGCAGGGACAATGCGAGGGTAGTGGAGGAGCAGCCGGGGAGGTAGATGGAAAACCTGCCAGAGTGCGGGAGGTTTTCTCCCGTGAGCAGAGGGGCCCCACAGGTTCTGGAGAAGGTCGGTATGCAGCCGTTGTAGGAAGTCTTTTGGGTATCTGCAGGGACTGTGGAGGGAGCAGGCCTATTGCCAGCTCAGAACCCACGCTCAGACATAGTGAATGACCAGGAGTAAAGGCTGTCATGTGGCCTCATCCATTTGTTACGTTCTGCCACCTGTTTCTCAGGGACCTCCATAATGGAGAGTCCCACCAGTGTGGTATCATTAAGAACTGGTTACTGACATGTCCCCAGTGAGCTGTGCGCTCCCTGCCCCAGCAGTAGGCGAAGTCCTCTGGTCATAGGCTCTTCTCCACGTGGCCCAAAGCTGAGCATTGCCTTCCTGTGCTTCCAGAGAAGAGGAAAGAAATCCCTGCAGGGAACCCTTTCTCTGCTCACTTAAAAACCTCCCCAGAGAACTTGTACATCCCGGAAGATAGAGTAGTTGTATTCTTTCCAATTCTACCTGCTAAGTACAACCCCAAACTCTGGACATTATATGTAAAACAAACTTAAGAAGACTCAGAAAGGTTGAGAGAAGAAGGCAGACCAGCTAGGGATCTCAGGCCTGAGGAACAACACCATACGGAAATGTGTTCCCTGGGTTTTGTTTTTACCTCGTGTGTCTCACTCTTGGGACTAAAGAGGCTGAGAGCTGGAAGCACCAAAGAGAAACAAACTTCCACAGATGTTTAAAAGTTGAAATCATACATTGTGTTCTTTGACCAAATTGGATTCAAACTAGAAATCACCAGCAGAAACTTAACAGGAAAATCTCCAAACTGTTGGAAACTAAACACATTTCTAAATAATCCATGGATCAAAGGAGAATAATAAAAATACCTTGAGTGAAAATGAAAAGACAGCATGTCAAAATTTGTGGCACCCAGCTAAAGTACTGCTGAGGGGGAAACCTCTTGCACTAAAAGCCTACATTAGAGAAGAAAAAAATCTCAAATCAGTAATCTGAACTTCTACCTCAAGAACTTAGACAAAGAAAAAGACGAAATAAACCCAAAGTAAGCAGAAGAAAAGAAATAATAAATATAAGAATAGAAATGAAGTTAAAAGCAGAAAAACAATAGAGAAAATCATTGAAACAAAGAACTAGTTCTTGCACAAGATCAGTAAAATTGACAAACCTCTAGCAAGACTGACGAAGAAAGAGAAGACACAATTTAGGATATAAAGAATGAAACAAGCCATTACTGTAAACCCTGCAGACGTGGAAAGGATGATAAGGGAATACTATGAACAACTCTACATTTGATATCTTAGATGAAATGGATCAATTCCTCAAAAAAACACAGCCTACCACAACTCACTCAGAACTAAATAGATCGGGGCCAGCCTGGTGGTGTAGTGGTTAAGTTCGTGCGTTCTGCTTCTGCGGCCCGGGGTTCACTGGTTCAGATCCTGGATGCGGACCTACTCACCGCTCAGCAAGCCTTGCTGAGGCAGCTTCCCGTATAGAAGAGCTACAACTCTACAACTATGATACACAACTATGTACTGGAGCTTTGGGGAGAAAAAAGGAAAAAAAAAGAGGAAGAATGGCAACAGATGTTAGTGCCGGGCCAATCTTCCTTAAAAAAAAAAAAAAAAACTAAATAGATAATTTGAATAGTCCTGTATCTGTTAAGGAAATTGAACTTCCCAAAAAGAAATGTCCAGGCCTAGATAGTTACACTGGAGAATTCTACCAGACAAAGAGAAGTTAACACCAATTCTGCCTGATTTTTTCCTCAGAAAATGGAAGAAGGAATACCTCTCAGTTCTACCTATGAAGTTAATATTACCCTGATACCAAAACCAAAGACAGTATCCAAAAAAAAGATTTCTCCTAAATATGCATTGAATATTCTTAACTAAATATTAGCAAATAGAATTAACCCTTCTTCCCCGGCGAAATTCATGATCAAATGGGGTTAAATACAGAGACGGGAGGCTGGTTTTGTATTTGAAGTTCAATCAGTGTAATTTACCATATTAAAAATCACATGAGGGGCCAGCCCAGTGGCATAGTGGTTAAGTTTGGCGCTCCACTTCGGCAGCCCGGGGTTTGCAGGTTTGGATCCTGGGCGCGGACCTATGCACTGCTTATCAATCCATGCTGTGGCAGGCTTCCACATATAAAATAGAGGAAGATGGGCACAGATGTTAGCCCAGGGCCAGTCTTCCTCAGCAAAAAGAGGAGGATTGGCATCAGATGTTAGCCCAGGCTAATCTTCCTCTCACAAAAAAAAAACCCAAAATCACATGATCATATCAGTCAGTGCAGAAAAATGATTTGACAATATTTTGCATTCATTCACAATCAAACTCTCAAAAAATAAGAATAGAGATAAATTTCCTCAGCTCGGTAAAGAACATCTACAAAAATCCTACCGCTGTCGTTATACTTAATGATGAAAGACTGAATTGAATGCTTACTCCCAAGATGGGGAGCAGTGCACGGATGTCTGCTCTCGCCACTCTTGTTCATCATAGTCCTCCAGGGTCAGGCCAGTAAATAAGGCAAGAAAAGAAAATAAAGGCATGTAAATTGAAAAAGAAGAAATAAAACTGACCCTATAGATGACAAAATTGTCAAAAATCTAAAGGAATCTACCAAAAATAAAAATATCCTAGCACTAATAAGTGAGTTCAGCAAGATTGCAGGATATAAGATAAACATACAAAAATCGATTGTATTTTGTGTGCTAGCAATGAGCACAACACATGGACACTGAAATTAAAAATACAATACTGTTTACAATTGCTCAAAAAAATGTAATGCTTAGGTATAAATCTAACAAAACATTTATAGGATTTATATCCTGAAAATTATAAGATGCTGATGAAAGAAATAAAAATATATAAATAAATAGAGAAACATACCATATTTATGGATTGGAAGACTCAAATAATAAAGATATCAATTCTTCCCAAATTGATATACAGTAGTTAATTCAATTCCTATCAAAATCTCAGTAAGAGTTTTTGTAGATATAGATGAGATTATTCTGAAATTTATGTGGAAAAGCAAAGGATCTAGAATACCTCAAACAATTTTGAAAAAGAATAAAATGGGAGGAATTCATCTACCCAATTTCAAGACAAGTAGCTACAGTAATCACGACTAGTATTGGTGGAGGGAAAGACACATAGATCATTGGACCAGAGTGGAGAACTCAGAAGGAGACCCACACAAATACACCCAACTGATTTTTGACAAAGGTGCAAAAGCAATTGAATGGAGAAAAGATAACCTTCCGACAAATGATACTGGAGCAATTGGACATGCATAGGCAAAATATGAACATCAACCCAAGTCTCCCACCTTATACAAAAATTAACTCAAAATTGTTTATGGACATAAATGTAAAATGTAAAACTATAGAGCAGTTAGGGAAAAAAGGTAGAAGAAAATCTTTGGGATCTAGGGCTAGGCAGCGAATACTTAGACTTGACCCCCAAAGCACAAGCCATAAAAAGAAAAATTAATGAATTGGACTTCATCAAAATGACAAATTTTTGCTCTGCAAAAGACCACGTTGAAAGGATGAAAAGACAAGCTGCAGAGTAGGAGGAAATAGTTGCAAACATATCTGACAAAGGACTAATATCTAACATATATAAAGAACTCTCAAAACTCATCAGTAAAACACACACACAAATAGACCCTTTAGAAGGTAAAAGACTTGAGGAGACATTTCACTGAGGATGATGTCCAGGTGGTAGACAAGCACATGAGGTGTTCAACATCATTAGCCATTAGGGAAATGCATATTAAAGCCACAGTGAGAAAACCACCTATCAGAATGGCTAAAATAAAAAATAGTTACAACACCAAATCCTGATGAGGATGCAGAGAAATGATGGCTCATACATTGCTGGAGGGAATGTAAATGGTACAGCCATGCCGGGAAAGTGTTTGGCAGTGTCTTTAAAAAGTTCTCTTCCAACTATCATGCCACCCAGCAGTTGCCATCCTGGGCATTTATCCCAGAGAAACGAAAACTCTGTACACAAATATTTATAGCAGCTTTATTGGTGAGAGCCGGAAACTGGAAACAAATCAGTTGTCCTTCAGTGGGTGAATGGGTAAACAAACTGTGGCAGATACACAGTGTGGAATACTACTTAGCAATAAAAAGGAATGAGCAATGGATACATCCAAGAACCTGGATGAACCTGGATTAGCGTAGAAGGCTAGTCTCAAAAGCTTACATTCTGCATGATTCCATTTATATAACACTCTTGAAATGACAAAATTATAGAAAAGGAGAACATGTTAGTGGTTGCCGGGGATTAAGGAGGGGTTCGGGGCAGGAGAGAAGTGGGTGTGACGATAAATGGGCACCATGAGGGATTCGCATGGAAATAGACATCTCCTGTGTCTTGACTGTGTCAGCGTCAGCATCCTGGTTGTGATGTTGTACTACAGTTATACAAGCCCTTAACCACTGCGGACTCGGGGTGAAGGGTACCTGGGGTCTGTATTACTTCTTACGACTACCTGTGAATCTTCACTTACCTCAAGATGAAAACTTTAATTAAAAAAAAAAAAGCCTCCCCAGATCCCCACCGCTAATGGGAAAAGACCCAAACCCTGGGTGTTGTCCTGCCCACTGCTCTATCCCCTGCCCTCCACCCTGTCCACCTCTCCAGCACTTGCTGTGCCACCACACGGCCCAGTAACACAAGCCCTGGAGCCTCCACACCCCTTGGGGCTCCTCTCCCCAAAAACCCACAGTGCCCTGCCTTGGAGCTCATGGGCACAGCGTGGAGGGCCTTCCACGGGGCGAGTTTGAGTGAGTGGCTATGAGAAAGGAGGTCCTGGAGGCAGTAGGACCCTGCATGAGGGGTGCATGTGGTGGGGCTGGCTGGGCAGTGAGGAGATTCTTGTGGCGGGGTAGGAGAGGGTGCAGTAGAAAGCACGCGTAAGGTTGAGGACCAAAATCAAAAGCAGGGTGGTGTGTTTTCTTCCCCAACACGTAACCATCGCTGAGGTGGCATTGTTCTTTGTGTTTGATCTTGCATCTCACTTTTTTCCTCACCATATCGTTAGATCCATTTGTAAACAAACAGATTTTGAAAGTAGGATCAGCAGGCCTGGAGGATTGACTGGCCATTGGGAGTGGGGGAGAAGTGGAGGCAACTGAGAGTGGGTCAGTGGTTCCCAGGAATGCTGACCCTTCTCCCGTGACTCTGAAAATGATGCTTTGGTTTTGAGTTCCCTCATTCAGATGTCTCCTTTAGGGGCAAGGGAAAGACAAAGATTCCGTTCTTCTTCTCATAGAAGGTCAGAGTCATGTCTGGGTGGGCAAACTCATCCGCCACTGGGAAGAGGTCAGGGGTGGTTGACCAGGACAGTATGTCCAGCGAGAATGCAGGGAGCGTTCTTGTCAGAATGTGAGGAGGAAGTCACCGAAGCCATGAGGTGTGGGGCAGCTGTGGGGTCCGAGCGGCTTCATGATGGCTCCTGGCTGCCCTTCCTCACTGCCCTCTTGTCCCTTCCCCACCCCCGGTTCTTTTGGCGGCCCGCACAGGTGTATGCTCACGCAGGCGCCACGCTGGAGGGGAAGATGTACATTACCTGCGGCCGCAGAGGGGAGGACTACCTGAAGGAGACGCACTGCTATGACCCGGGCAGCAACACGTGGCACACTCTGGCCGATGGGCCCGTGCAGCGGGCCTGGCATGGCATGGCCACCCTCCTGGACAAGCTGTACGTGATCGGAGGCAGCAACAATGATGCTGGCTACAGGAGGGATGTGCACCAGGTGAGCGGGCAAGGGCTGCTCCACACACACTCGTTGGTGTTCCCATCCCTTTCAGTTGTTACTGATGAAAAAGTAATTGCAGTGTGTTTTTTTTGTTGTTGTTGTTGAGGAAGATTCGCCCTGAGCTAACATCTGTGCCAATCTTCCTCTTTTTGCTTGAGGAAGATTGTCCCTGAGCTAACATCTGTGTCAGTCTTCCTCTACTTTGTATGTGGGTTGCCGCCACAACATGGCTGACGAGTGGTATACATCCTCATCCGGGGTCTGAACCCGCTAACCCAGGCCACCGAAGCAGAGCATGCTAAACTTAACCACTACACCACGGGGCCGGCCCCTTTTTTTTCTTTTAATAGACTTTATTTTTTTTATTTTATTTTATTTTATTTTATTTTTTTTAAAGATTTTATTTATTTATTTTTTTCCCTCCAAAGCCCCAGTAGATTGTTGTACGTCATAGTTGCACATCCTTCTAGTTGCTGTAT